TGACAGTTAATCGCGAATTCTACCAGATTAGACGCAAGAATGAATGATTTTGAAGGTTATTTAGTGGAAAAGATTGTCTTAAATTCATAACATAACCTAGAAAAATGCAAAAACCTATTCTTTTCCTTGAAGTATTGCGTTAATTTCTTTTGAAAGTGACTCTTGAACGCACAATATTGAAGTTATTGAAACACTTTCACTGAGTTGTACACCACTTCTGACTGTATTATCTCCCCCTTGGCACATCTCGAGCACTCCCTTGTCATGTGAATGATGGTGCTTCTGCGATGGGCAGACAAGAGTACCGCAGGTCAATGTCCAAGGAAGTCTGCATGTGAGGCGGAAACCCAATGAAGTTCACCTCGCAGAAAACGTCTGCAGCAATTGGTTTTCGCCATAAGTTGCTCAAGTATAAATGCAATTAGATTTTGATGGAAGCTGACAGATGTATTTGAGAGAAACAAATAACAAATCAATTGAATTGAAAGACAGAGAGAAATTTTTGCTGTGAAACTGCGCCGTGAAAAGTGAACCAGACGATTCTGGCGAGTCTGCAAATTGATGGAGAAAATTTTAATTGATCACCTTTGAAGAAGTTTTGAGCGCAAAAACCGGCAAAAGTGTATCTGAAGATGTGTCCGAGATGCTTTTGATTTGATATGCGATCAAATCGTTTTCTCATTTTCCTTCCTGAGCGACGGCTTTTCAATTACATCGGCAAAATTCCTCCTCAAAATTGTTTATATACCTTGAGATAGGGGCGAGAGAGAGGAGTGAAGATTGTATCGTAGTTACGGTGGAATCAGTGGGAAGAATGAGAGGGTGTATCTTGAATTATTAAACAATTCATCTTCCGTCGTGGAGCTATTTCGCTGGGGCAGAATGGGAATTTCAGCTTGACTGGGTGGGGAAAATCAATTACAAAAGTAAACATTAATGGTCGACAAATTTAATCCATCAATTATTTAAAAGAAAATTGTTTTGGTTTCTCTCAAGATGTCCTATCCATTACAATCACATCCGGCCACGAGGCACAGAAATAGATCACTTTCTTCTTCTGTGGACCACATCAAAAGCGCCAAAGTGGAAAATTCAATTGAGAATTATGTATATAGTCAATCAAATTCAATTGGCAAATTAATTGAATTGAATTTTCCCCGCTAATAAATGTTGTTTCAAATACATTCTCCCCACCGAAAAGTACATTATTTGTCGTACAAATAAGTTAGGAAAATACTTATTTATTTCCCATGAACTAATTATTGCAAATAAATCATTTCAATCACAAATTGGATGAATGGAAATGTTAAGCGGAATTATACATTTCCTTAGCAACATTTTCTTTTGTGTGCTGCTTCAAAAGCCACAAGCTCCTTCCAGAAACTTTAACCGTGAGCTTAAAGCTCCATCATTCGACGTAATACATTGATGATGCATTTGTGTGACAGATCATTTGTTTGCCACGAGCAAAATTCACAGCCACAGAGTAAAAATGGAGTAAAAAGTGGATGAAAAAGTTCGCAAAATTCGCGCCAAATGAAATGAAAAAGTGATCAATCAGCCCAACATTGGCGCAATTAATCCAATTGTTTGCCACATACAAATGTACATATTTAATTTTGAAGCATTTCCAACTGACGAGCATTAAAAATGAAGGTACAGAGCGCGATTCTGCAATAGCTGTAATTGAATCAACCGGGCACAATAGTTAATTTCATTACGGCTGAATAATTTTTTGATGACAATGTAATTTATATCTCAATTGACTGCACTTTGTTGCTGGCAATTTTGAATAACTCTCGCCCATCACAATTAGTCTCTGCGATGTATTTCAGCGATGAAATATGTATAGAATGTTTTCATGAAAAGACGGCCGGTCTGTCAATTATCGCTCCAGTGATTGATTTCGTTCTTCTCTCTCTCTTGCAGAGTACTTAATGACAGGAAGTCCTCGTGCTGCAGGATATCCGGCCCGATCGCCCATGTCCAATGGTCCTCAGCATCAAGCAAGGTGAGTTGTTTGGCGAAAGCAAATATACTTAAAACACAATAATGCTTTCAAACCGACGTCAATTTTCACATTTTCATAACACTTTTAATTCCATTAAAAATCCTTTCAACTCCCATAAATTGAAAAATGACTTTCAAATTAACCGCACTATTTCATGGCGATCATTTTGCTAAATACTCCACCACAAAATACAGTTGCGAAAATTACTTTAGAACACATAAGGAATTTTGGGCCTGAAAATTCAATATTTCTATCCATTTTAGAGACATTTATCTTAAGACAAAAATTTATCTGAATTTCATGGCCTTTCAAATGGCGTTGAGATCATGGAGATATCTTAATTAAGAGCCGAAATATTGCAAAAAATTCAGTTAGGACACTCAAATCATGTTATAACCATAATACAGAATGGGATAATCACATTAAATCATGAGTTTAGAATGTTCAGAAGACATTTTCGTCAAAAAGCGCCTTGATTTGGACTTGTCAACTTGCATTTTCTGTGTTTTTAGCTACAATTTAACGCTTTTGCACCATTTCTTCCGCACAACCGCGGCCCAAATCCTGTTCACAAATTCTCTACGAAGTGTAGAAAAGAATCCCAATTTAATTATTAATGGTGAAAACACAGCATTTGTAATTTGTAATTTGTCCACGATCATCTCTTTCTTCCCCTCGCGTTTCGTGTATTTTCCTTCCTACTCGCACAGTGGCTGTCTCGACATGTCAGAGTCGGCCGCTGACAAAGTAGGAAGGAAAATACACGAAACGCGTGGGGAAGAAAGAGATGATCGTGGACAAATTACAAATTACAAATGCTGTGTTTTCACCATAAAGAACAATTATGCAGTCGTGAGAATTACAGCATTTTGCTCACTAGAAAGTGTGATTTTCAGCCAATTTCTTACTATAATGTTGAGAAAATCAGTGATTTATTATTGATTCATGGCAGGAAAATGGTTCTGAAGTGTCCTAAACTAATTTTCGCTGCTGTATGTTGACATCAGTGGGGGTGTGGGGAAAAGGGGTTTCCTCATCAAACATTTGTGCACATAAATATCCTGTGAATTAATTTAAATTTTATTATAATTGATGATGCACAATCATCAAACTATTTTTACCATGTTTGTGAGGCAAATGTAGCAAAATATTTGATTATTGTGCATAAATTTAAATTAATATTCAATTCCAATCAAAAGTGAGTTTGTTTGTGTGCTTTTTTTCTGCTTCTGTGACTTGCATAAACTTAAAGCTCTGCAGAGAGCTTTTCGGGGCGCCTCAAGCTCTCCATCTCTTGCCTTCCAATCCATCTGTTAGCTCTTGTCGCAAGACACTCCGTGCTATCTCTTGTCAGTGTAATTACCTCCCTCGAAACAGAGGGATTTGCCTTGATACAGTGCTCAACCGCACTTTCTGTCGCTCCGCTTCGGTTTTGCAAGCAATATGTATGCCGAGGCTTATGTCTATTTACCCACATAGAGACATTTATAAATATTCGGGAGACAAAAGGCAAGACGTGTCAGAGGTTATCCATGCAAATAATTTTCATTCTCTCCTCATTACAACATATATAGTGAGGCGACGTCCTCAGCAAATTCGTTATAAAGTGTAGCACATATAAGTACAAATATGTATCTGGAGAAAATCACTATGAGAATGAGGGCTGTATTGATGGTGGAGAGCTCGCAGTGTATTCCTCCTTTAGCCATATATTTGAACTCTCTCTCTGGGTGTTTGCGAGAAGGATAGTTATTTGAGGAACATAAAAGTAATTCTATGTAAATATAGGAGTGTTTCAGCACAAATGGGATTTTCCGGGGATGAAAAGTAATATGATGTGTGTGTGTGTGTGCTGGCGTACAAAGCTTTTGCGCCTTTTCAGTTTGGTGATTCTCTCTTTTCACACGTCTCATTCATTTTTGAGGAGATCTGCGGAAGGGCGCCGCCGCCCACAAAGCCACCCACTTTGATTGTCATCAAAATGTGGCTCTGGATATCCATTGAATTCTTCGGCAGACACTTTATTTGTCTTACACAAATGGAATCTACAATGAGTGCCAACGCTCTACATTCGCTCAGAATGCAGACTTGGGCAATTTCACTGCTGCTTTCCACATTCCAAGGGGGAGATAATATGCCTCAAATTTGAATCTTCAACACTTCAGACACTTTTGAACGCTTTGAAAGGAATTTCCAGTCGCTTTTTAGACTCCTTCAACAGTTTCTCACGCTCAAATCTGACTTATCACAATCTAATGAAATTGTGAGGTTATGAATCCTTCTTGAACTAATTTAAATCCTTTCAAACCTGCAAATGAGAACAGTGAATATCTCAATGCTTCTACTAGATAATAAGACTGAATTTTACACATTAGGAGATATTTTTTCTATACTGAAATGATATTTTAGAGGTTATGATTGACTTTTAAGTTCTTTTTTCAACCTCAAATACTCAATTCAGCCACGAAAATGAGAAATATTCTCAGGTTAAACTCAAATTTTATAATTTGAAGTGTTTTTTAACACAGAATCTATTTGAAATGAACCACATAACCTAGAAAATGCCCTAATTTGCTAAATCAGAAGCTTTTGTGATGCAAATATTGTAATTATTTCAACACTAATAATTCCTTAGATTCGTTCTGATTTGCTAATGAATTCTCTCTTTGAGGTTATGTTAGATTGTAACACAAATTCAGTATTTCTGAATGTCAAAAGTCCAGAAAAGCGCATTGATTATTGCCAATTCAGCTAGTAATCAGCGATCTTTCCACCAAAACTGTCTTAAATTAGTCACATAACCTAGAAAAATAAATTTTATATTTTCTCTAGGTATAAATAAAAAGAAAATTTAATGGATTATGCTGAATTGTTACAAAAGAAGCGCTGAAGAGCGAATATTAAGATTTCTGTTGATTTGTACACCAATTCCGACAGCAATATCTCCCCCTTGACAGATTCAAATTCATATTCTCTCTGTTTTCGGGTGGGATTCTGTGTTTATTTCTAAATAGATGCAAAATTGTACATGTCACTGCAAATAAACCAATTTGTATGGTATAAAATGTAGTGCCACAATATTGGGCAGTTCAACTGCCTCACACTGCACAGCAAACTATTTGGTGTAGGAATACTGAAAGAGCGCCGCCGAAGGAACCCTGAGAGGAATCAATCTCGACACGCCGTCGCTTCCCTTCACCACAAAGTACTCTCGTCCGTTGATGTTCTGCCTCTGGAGGCCGTTCGACTCCCTCATGGCGAAGTCCTTCTGCTCCGCGATGCCGCCCAGGATGTTGCGGCTGCGATTGAAGAGCGTGGTGTAGGGCGGCGGCGGCGTCACGCTGTCCACAGTGACGTCATCTCTGACTCTGGCCCACTTGTGCTTGTCCGCGCGCGCCTTCGGCACGCAAATGCCGCGATTGTTGAGACACCTGAAGAGCAGCTCGCTGAAGAAGACCGCCGTGGAGGTGCAGAAGCCGGCAATCATGATGTAGTACGTCATCATCAGGTCGCCATTCCTCAGCTGTCGCTCCGTGCTGACGAGATTGGACGGACAGATCTCGGCGTCGGGCAGATCCTTCCACAGCTTGTACTTCACGATGCCCGACTCGACGAGGTGCAGCAGCACGGGATCGAAGAGCAGGTGAAGCGTGGAGTTCTTGGGATAGGCGAAGGCTCGCTTGCGCTTCATGAAGGGCGTCTTGGCCACGGCGAAGGGACACTGAATCTTCTCATCCGTCAGACTAATTGTCTTCCTGTACACGTAATCGCTGTAGATCAAGTGATTGATCGCCGGTCTGTCCCTGACATACAGATAATTCCGCCTCTCCACATCCTGCAGCAGGATCTCCGTGTCATTGAGCGATGCCGAGAATTGCACCAGATTCTTCTCCACCATCCGACTGAGCTGCGTCAGGGCTTCGCCGTTCTGCGGGGGGAGGGGAGAAAAAGAAGGCGGAATTGCGCGATTAAAATTGAATAATTGGCTTAGCAAACACGCAAAGTTTATTTCAATTGCTGAGCAAATACCGTACGTGAAAAATGTTTGTTCTCCCTTGTTTACACGTGGAAAAGCGGAAGGAGGGCCTTTTTAGAGGAAATATCGCAACACATTATTAAATTTCAATGAATGCCACAACGCACAAGTGTGGCCACGCAAAGGCCGGCTTGCATGCGAGCGCCACTGGCACGATTCCGGAAAAGAGTGTGTCGTTAAGTCGCAGAGCAATTATATGTGTTTTCCAAGGTCTGTCTGTGAAGTCCAATTGGCCGAAGAGGCAAAAAATCAAGGATATGAAAGAGATTTTTTGGTTTTTTTTTTGTCCATTTTCCCTTCATTTGAATTCCAATTCAAAAATTACTGATGCCTTGTTGGGATAAATTCCACCCTCAATTATTGTTTATTCTGGCCTATTTGCATGTGAATTGATTGGATATTCATCCGATATGACGCCAATCATTTGCAATAAAAATGCTTCTCATATCAATATTTTCTGGCATTATTAATTTGATTTTGATTAAAAACCACTTCAAATGGTGGAAAACAATAAGAAAAAAATATATTTTTCGACAAATAAAAATAAATTGAAGAGAATCAAATGGATTTTTTTTCCTGTGATTGGAATATATATGGAAAAAGTTCGAATCAATCAATGCAATTAATAAGATAAATAGAGCTTTCATGTTTCCCAGTGGAGTTTATTTGTTGACTTACAGCACTTGACAACCTATCCCACGAGTGGTAATTCAAGGGCAACGCTGTTGAACTTCAGAAGTCACAAAAGTCCATGACTCAAATTGTGACCAATGTCAAATGACGAGCATATTTACTCAACTTTCTGTAAATACAGTAATTTGTCTCTCTTCTTAATCATATTCCGACCGGACGTGATAGGTTTGGAAAGGTATTTCTCGCACTAATTACGGTCATTTTTCCATGACTTTTCTCACTACTGAAGATGTCGAGAAAAGTCAAGGGGGAAATATTATAGTCAGAAGTGTTTATAAAGTAGAATTGCTTGAAAATGTGCAATATTAAGCATTAAAGAGCTATTTTCAAAGCAAATAACCGTAAAACTTTGAGAATTTTTGCACTATTTTCTTCAATAAAAAAATCTCATTGCTTTTCTAGGTTATGTAAACTAACTTAAAGCACAATTTAGTCGTTAAATAACATAGGAAAATTCAATTTATACACTCAAATGGCAATAATTCACATTCCTTAGCAAAGTTAAGCGCTTGTGATCAAATTAAAATTGTGTTAATTACGCTAAGATTGATCATAACCTCAAAAATATTGTTTCAGGATACAAAATTGTGTCTTTCAAGAGCTGTTTGATTGATTTTCAATTCAGAAAAAGAAAATTTCAATTCATTATAAATTTAGAACGAATTAATATTGGTGAGAATCTGTTTAATAAATTGAATTTTGAGGTTATGGTCAACAATGCATCCAAAAGAGCGTCTTGAAATTTAATCACATCAAAATATCCCCTGAAAACTTCAAATATTTCTCAAATACTGTTTCTCTGTAGACTTTTTCAAAGTAATACAAGTAAAAACTGAGTCTTTTTGTCACAATTACGACCTAAATTTGAGGTTATGATACTTTAGGCGGTTGGAAAACTCTAAAAAGTTTCAAAAACGGGTAAGAAAATAAGGAAAACTCGTGTTTTAAGCACTGCCACAGTTTTGAAAGTGTCTGTGATTCGACAGGAAGTGATTTTAGCCGTATTATTTCCTCCTTGGGAAAAGTTTCACTCACATTCTTTATGGCATACTCAACAGCTCCGCCACGATTGGCGACAAAGTTCTTCTGCTTGCGCAGAATGTCGCCCACATTGTTGATGGGCAAGGTGAACTTGGACAGCGTGAGGAAGGCCGTGAGGTTTGCCGTGTAGAAGGATGTCAGGATGGTGATGAAGATCCACCAGGTGGCGAAGAGGAGGCGCGTTGAGTCTCCGATGGGCGACAGAGTGCTGCCTTGCTTCATCAGGGCGCCATAGACGAACCAGATGCAGTAGGGCAGCGGATAGATTGTCTGCTCCCTGTCCCTGGTTAGCTTCGTCCTGATGATGATCAGGGCGTAGATGATTGGGCCGACGCAGATCAGCGACAGCAGGATGAGAATCCACACGTTGAGATCGAAAGGCGCCCAAAGTCCCGATCCTGTGGCAGATTCTGCCGGTCTGGTCATTATCATGATCCACTCACCCTCGTCCAGGGTGGTTTTTGAGTAGTAAATGTGCTCCCGCGCGTCCGACAGGATGGGCAGGAAGGCGGCGGCAAAGTCTGCCCTTCCATCGCCCAGAATCTCAATCAGACTGCCCTCGATGTCCTGCGTGGAGCCCAGGATGTTCTTCTCCGGCACAATGAGTTCATAGGTGAAGTTGAACTTCTCCGTGAGAAACTCAAGGAGATCAAAGGACACTCCAGTGCCAGTGAGACTGCCATTGATTGTCTCGACAAAGCTCAAGGGTTTGTCATTGATTGTGACGACTTTGAGCGTTTTGCCGTTGATTTCCCGCTTGATCTGATCCAACATGTGGTTCTTCATCTCCCACGACGTCAGATCACTCATGTTGGTCGAGATGCCAACGGTGTAGTCACTCTCCGGCTCACTGTCACACGTCGAATTGCGGCAGACGCTCTCAAAGAGCATCTCAATGCCCTCCATGGCGCGCTCGCTTCTAATCACGAGATTCACAGGTCAGAAGTTCACAAGAGACTGCCATCTGATTACATTTGCCGGCCAGAAATAAGGGGACTGTGCAGCGTAGTTATGAAAATTACACGATATGACGGGCGGGCGCGGTTTCGAGGCGCTTTAGGGGTGGATTAGAGCTACCCTTGTATGCGTGAAAGTTTCAAAAGTTTCATGTTTGTGGCATTTACAGCGACAACTGAAACTTTCCCTGAAGCTTTCGCGCTTTTTGATATGTTGTGTTGTGCGTCCTGGAAAGTCAAATCCCCATCACTGCGTGGCTTTTATTGTCCGCCCCTGCAATTAAATAATTCCAATCTACAGCCCTTTTGCCGCGTTATATTCTCGGGATACAAACACCAAAGTGTCGACATTGTTGCGCTTTTCATTTGAAATAATCGATAACTCTACTTTTTGTATTCATTTTCTGTATTATGTGACGCAATGTCAACAAATTGAATGATAAATCAATAAAAAATTCATGCGCTCAGAAAGAAAGTAAGGTCACGAGAAATTACACATCGAGCAATTTTTCAACCCCCTCGAAAGCCGCACACATTCCCGAGTGCGGCACACGGAGTAATCTAACCCAGTGTGAGGAAATGCGAAAAATTCCCCCCAAAGACAATCTATCTGGGGGTGGAGGCAAGAGGGAGATAATAAGGCCAAAAGTGGTGTACAGATCAGATGTTTTTGGGAAGTAAAAGTGTTGCAATTAATTCAATATTTGATTTACAACCATGATTTTCTATTGATTATTTCGCTCTGATAAATTAATTCTTATCCAAGTTTTAATTTTGATCAATTTTTCTGTGATTGATTTGTGACTAAATAACGTCTTAAAGACGAATTTCTTGCGCCTAAATTACCTTACATTAATTTTTATAACAAACTTGTGAAATTTGGAGTTAGAATTAAGAAAGAAAATTCATTAAAAGGATTGTGATCAAGAAAAATACGTTAAAGTGCCATTTTCATGGATTAAAATAATAAAATATATGAAAATGTGAGTTTTTAGTTAGATTTTGGTTAGATTATAGTTAGATTTCAGTTATTAGTTGATTTTAGTCACGTTATAGACAATCTTTAAAGTCTGGAGTCCTGGGAAGTGTGAAGGACATTGTGGAAGTGTCAGGAAGTGGTGTACAGATGTCAGTCATATTATCTTCCCCTTAGGCGGAGGAGGAGGAGGAGGTGGAAGTATTCTCATGGCGACCCCACATGTATATTTTTAAGTATGCAACCAACATGCCTCAAATAACCCCCATGAATTTGAGTTCCACTTCACCCCTTTTCATCCCCCACACAATCAACTTCAATCCCCCACTTTGAGTGTGTTTCAGTTTCCACACAATCCTAAAATATCACTTCTGCGGCGCTCTGAAGAATGGAGCTCTCTGGTCGGAGGCACTTTTCCCGCCATGGCGTGGAAAGACGCATGGATTAGGGCTAATTTCAACGAGGAAAATATTGTCGGTGGCGCACAAAAATGCTCGCCTCTTTGTTCTCTCCGGCCACAGACACGGACGAGAAACTTAAACACACCCAGATGTTTATTCATCTCTCTATTCGCCACGGAGTATTTACCGGCAGCGGCAATTTTTCTGTCCCTCAACACACTTGACTTTGCGCCCGGCGGAAGATTGAGGGATGGAAATCTGCTGGAGGGATGCTTTCGCAGCCACCCTGGCTGGCAATTGCACGACAGTTAATTGTGCCTCTGCGAGCACTATGTAAAGTTGCAAATAGTAATTACAATTCAAATTAAACTTCTGCATTTTGTGGTGTTTACATCCCAGAGTTGCATACGAATTGCAGATTTGCACTGAAAACACATTTTTATGAAGCTCTGATAAATGGGAAAAATGTAATGCAACTCAAATGTGCAAAAACGAATTATAAATTCCTGATTTGCAATCTGTTATGTTAATTATGTCCAAGAAATACTTTAATTAAATAATTTTTGAAATAACTTTAGTGCATTATATAATTTGTTATTCGAATTTGAGGGTTGATTTGTGCATTCCCAAAGAGAAGATACTGCGACTGACATTCGTACACCACTTCCCAGGACTTGAGACATCATGGATTGCTTAAAACAAGACTAAAATCAACTAATAACTGCAGTATGACTCAAATATGACTGAAATCTAACTAAAATCTAACTGACAATTTTATTAGTCTTATTTTCAGACTGTTTTAACCACGTTAACAACCATAGACAGTTTTCTTTTGATGATTTTCTGCCCTTAACCGCACTTTTCGATATAAATTCTCAAAGAATCTTTGAAAATTTGAGGTTATGTTTAAAATTCTTTACCATTCAGCATTCAGAATAGATTTTTGCAGAGTGAAAATGCTTAATTGTACTAATAAATGAAAATAATTCAGTTTCCACTGCAAGAATTTCTATTTTTAACTCTTTTTCTGTCTCAAATGAGTTACATAACCTAGAAAAATATGTCAAAATGTAAGATTTGGATGAGTATTTACATCTGAGAGTAAAATAATCAACAGAAAATCAAAGCTGTGAATCATATATTGCATCTGTACACCACTTCTGACCACATTGACTCCCCCTTGCGCAACCCCACTGAGTTGTCTCTGAGATTGTCCATGGAAATCAGTGGTTTCGCTCGTAAACTCTTGTAATTTGCGTGTCGATTCGTCCCTGGCGATGTTCTTGGCTATGCGTTCCGCATCGCCATGAGCACAGATAACCAAAGGCTGGCCGACCTTTGACTTGTGTGGTGTTAAATCTTGCTCGGGCCCCTCATTTATTCAGAGCAACACATCTAAGCAATGAATAATACACCGTGACGACCTGGCTCCGGGTCAGCGCTGTCACAACGCATGGAAATCCTCTCTGGCCATCAGATATTGATGTCCAGGACCATTTTGGGCCATTTCTCTCGCTTTTGCTGTGTGTTGTGGGTGGAAAAAACAGCGTCGTCTTGAGCGATCAGACCACCACCCCCCGAAATGAGTGATGGCAGGGAGCAAATTGCTCTTCAGCTCAGTTTTCGCGAAAGTCCATTAATAGGACTGTGTTTTAGTAACATGATATATTTACTTTGGGCACCACCAGCGGAAAAAAGGCGAGAGCAGAAGAGCGGACAAAAAAGCTGGGAAGCTGAGATAAATTGTGTTTATTTTTGGATGCTTTTGATTTAAAAGATATCACATTTCGGTGTGAAGAAGAGTACTTTTCACAAAACCTGCACTTCAATAGCGCCCGAGAGAGAGAAAGAGAAGGCAGAGAAGTGAGAGAGAGAGAGAAGAGTGTCGAGGAAAGTGTGTAATTATGATGAATTTGGAAGCTGTGATGAAGAATAATTAGAAATTGACCTGCGCGACGTTCAATTCTAATCAAATTTTCTTGTTAAATTCCCTCAAACTCACTTCAACCGCACATCAATTGTCTGACTCTCCGTGAGTTTGAGGGGACTTTTGATTCACAGCTCTTCGACTGTATGTAAATATATGCCCAACTGGGGGTTTTGGGGGTTTGGCGTAATGATAAAATTCAATTAACAAATATTCACAGAGAAGACCGTAATTGAATTTTCCAATAGTGAGTGTCTTCTCACGTCTAAAATTGAGAGTTTACCGGCGCATGGAGTCGGCGGAACCAATCAACATGTGGTTGACTGATGAAAGGAGTAATTAAACATGTTCTTAAGTGTTCCGAGGGACATATTGAAAGGGGATTTTGCGACAAAAGGCAAGTGCCAGAGGCTGTATAGAAATTCCTCGTGAGCAATCCATCTTTTGCCAATTTCATGCCACACAAACTTTCCGCTCTCACATTTCACCATCATGACACGCTTAACCTCTGATATTTTCACTTTCCCAAAGCCTCGTTAAATCATCACTGGGCGCACCCCTTTCTCGGCACAGCCCCTTGTGCAATGGGGGTAATTAGCATTTTGAGTGCTGTGCGTTTGAATGGGAATCCTAACAAAATAGCATCCCGAAGATTGAGAATTTTCCTCTCCAATGGAAAATCCTCTGGGATGTTTTGGCTGAAGCCACACACAAAATTCAACGCCTTTCTTTCACATCTCCCACAATCTTCTGCAGCCGCTCCCGAAGGAGCCGACTCGATTAATGTAATTAACTCACACATTTAATATTTACCTTCACTTATTCAAATACCGAAGCAACCCCTTTTTGCTCGGACTTGGGAAGCAGCTCAGCTGCACAAGTCCAGTCTGCACACATTCATTCACGTTGAGGGTGGTTAACTCGTTACCACTTCCTCCAGTCACCCTCGCCATCCGTCCACCAACCCTCAGAACACCTTCCCTCAATGTTATGCGCTCTCTGAACACACATCGACGATGCGGCGCAAGGGTTGAGAAAAATAATATTAAAGTGACGCTGCCGCGATATTAAATCATAAATTCAAACTCATCCATTTGTGAATTACTGCCAGTTGTCCAATTAATTCCAATTTATGCGTGTTCGACTGCTTGGGAACTCAAAAATCCATCAAAGTGTCTTAGGGTTCTAATTAGCTGCTCGCTTCCGAACAAAGTATATTAGGAAAAATGTGTTCCATGTCGACGGGTGAAGAGAAAACTATGAAAAGTCGATTTTTCATAGTTTACATCTTATGTATGGACAGCATTTGCTCCAAGCGGGAAATTACACGCGACTTGAGACAATTAACTTCGTGATTATTCAATAATTTCTTGATTATTTCGTGATTTTTATTCAAATTTTGATTATTTCATACAAATTTCAATCATCTCTTGATTATTCTATTCAAATATTTAGATATTTAGATATTTACAGACGAATTTTCCTAAAATATCCCTTAAATCTTGAATAAATAAAATATATGTCATGTCTTTTAATTTTTTCATTTGAAAACCCTGAAGAAAAGTTCATGTAAAGTGTGAAAAGTTGATTTCTTAGATCTTGTTTGGGCAAAATGTACTCAAAAACTATTAAAAATCCACTGTGAA